TGCTTGCAAATTCTACATCGAATGACAAACAAAAACGTGGCCATCTTTTCTAAAATCGTGGAGCAAATTAAATTTGTGAGCCTAGGTATCACTGCATCTGCTTTGAAACATCATTTCACAATCTTATTAAAGGACAAATATCACACTGTTAGTTAAAAGTAACTTAGAATATTGTATAAACAGTCTTCATTCTATATAAGCATTCCAAAATACATATTAAAGTTCTATAACTTTAAAAAATGTTTATTGAGTGTCTACCATATAGTTGGGCACTATTTTACATGGGATTTATACTGTATTTGTGTATGAATGTGCAAAGTTTTGCTTCCACAGGATTTTAATCCTTTCAGGAGGATGCAAAAATTAACCAGTGAATGATATGTCAAATGATGATAAAGTCTATAAAGAAATATAAAGCAAGAGAAAAAAGTGGAGAAGTTAATGCTTCTAGGAAAGGCCTCTCTGACAAGGTCATTTGAGAATGATTTATAGAAGTGAGGAAATGAGCCACGTACACATTTGAGGGAAGGCAGAGGGCACAGCAAGAACAAAGACCCTCAGTGGTGTTTTTAAGGAGTGTAATATGGAATTCAAATCCAAGAAATTAACTCTAGAACTTGTGTTCCATATTCTCCACTAACTTCTACACTTTCATAAACTCTGCTTTATGCAGATTATTATGAAAACAGTATCAGAGTTAAATACATTTATTTATGCTGTTATGTTGACTTACAGCTATGTTTTTTATTTTGTATTTTATTTTTTATTAATTATTATTATTATTTTTGAGACAGGGTTGCATTGTATTCCAGGCTGGTCTTGAGCTCCTTATATAGCCCATGCTGTCCTTGAACTCATGGTGATCCTCGGTCTCAGCATCCTGAGTGCTGGGATTACAAGTGTGCAGCACCACACCTGGTTTAACCTCTGTGTTATGTTGATTTATGTGTGGATTCCAAAGAACAACATAAAGAAATTTGATGTTCCCTTTTCAAAAATGACTCAGAGTAGGAAGCAAAACATTTTAAATTAAGAACAGCAACCAGATGTCTTCAAACTAGGAAAACCCTTAATTTAGGATTTTAGTGTCATGCTTATGTCTTTTTCAGGCTCAGTGCTGGGTCCCACGTGAAGATTAAGAATCACCACCTCAGCAAACAGTACTTTAGGATCTAGGAATATTTTTGGTTTCATTTCAAAAATTTCAAATGGGCAAAAGTGTCATAGAAAAATAGACATGTTTTTCATTGCCTTAACTAGAAAAAGAGAAGTATGGAGAAAATCAATCACTTTTATTTTTAAGGTTTTGTGGGTATGGTACCATTTAGAGAATAATTACTCATTAACTGAATCAAAGCTGAGGAGTTAAGTCCGGACAAGCTTATTTTGAGGGCAAATTGTAAAGAATAGCAGATAACTTCATGAAAAGCAGCTGGCTGGCTAGGAGGATATGCTGAAGAACAGGCAACTGAATGCTATAAGCTTTCTATTTCTGAAGCTGTGCCAAACATTCTAAATAAAGAGAATCTAAATCAGTGGCTCCCGACTTAGAAAGTGTGTTATTCTGGGTCTTTTGAGAGTCAGCTTCCAAAATAAGATTCAGCATGAAAAGATTTCATTAGGGGAAACACCTGTGTGAGAAAACGGGTAGGAAGGCGTTCAGACCGGAAAGAGAGGGAGCTGTGACCCAGCCTGACTCTGGGTAGAGGAAACCGGCCAGGAAAGCCGGGGAGAAACCGCACAGATAAACTAGGCGGTCGTGGAAGGTTTAGCAAGCTGTGGGGGAGTCTGAGAGCGAAAGCAGTCCTGCATCAGAAAAGTTCCACATCTCCAGGGACCATGTCTCTGTTGGTACTTATTCCTGCAGCCCCTTAAAGGGCTGGCAGCAGCCAACTGGAAGCCTGACCTCAGTACAAACTCCGAGATGGGTTGCAGTGTGGACCCTCAGCCAACCTGTGGTCCCAAAGCTAAGTAGGAATTTCTTAGGGATCTGTCTACCTCCTCTACTCTCCCTCCCCTCCTCCCCTCCCGTCCCCTCCCCTCCTCCCTTTCCCTCCCCCTTTCTCCCTCCCCTCTCCCCTCCCTCTCCCCGCCCTCTTTTTTGTATTAGGACTCCAACTCTCAGCCTCATGCTTGCCCGGCAGGCACTGTGCTGCTGAGCTACATCCCTGGCCTAGCGTCTATTTTTCTTGCTACTAGGGATCAGACCCATAGCCTTGAACATGCTAGGCAAGTGCTCTTGGGCTGAGCTTCATCCCTAGCCCCAGTTTAGGATACCTTTGGCAATCAGCTGCTTCCTAGAGAAGAAGCATGTCAAGCAGCCACACTGTGGGGATGTATATCATGTCCACTCCCTTATGCTGAGGTGGTGAAAGGCACTGAGAGAATAAGAAATAGAAAAATATTTCCTGCATTGATGTTTATGTTTTAAATGCATTGTTAGAAAAGCTCCCGGACCACAATATATAAATCTGCTGTAAATCATAGATACTTTAAAATTAGATTTAGCCATATAAATCACAGCAGTCAGGCCTTCCCTTCAGCTTCTGGCTGGACCCCATGCAGCAAGCATGGAATCTTATCTAAAGACACTGTTACAGAGAAAGTTTGTAAGTGTAGTGGGTGATGTTTTATACTTATGCCTGATTACAGATTTCTCTTTCCAAAAGTAAAACTATGACTTCAACACCTGTCCTAAATGCAATCCTATCATATTTGGATGCTATAAGCTTTGAGGCCTACTGTTTGTATAGATCTTTTGGTGCTAAAATATCATTAGATTTGGCTCGAATTCCACAGATTCATTAACATGCCAGCATTAATTCCAGATGTGATCCGTCTCTTTCGGGGGAAGTATGATGAATGCTTGTTGATAAGGTCCAACCTTTCTTTTTAAAAGAACCCAAAATTAATTTATTAGTGGGAAATAATGAAACTGCTAGCAAGACTTAACTTCAATTATTGTGATAAAAACCCATGACGTTTATCATCTAGATTTAAATTTATTTATTTTATTAGAGCATGTTTGCAGTACATAATGATTACATTCATTTTGGGGAATTGGTACACATACCTAGCACATTCCAATTTCTATTTTTGCCCTTCTCCTCCACTCCATTTTTTAAATCAGATCTATTTTTTTCTAAGTCTTTATCAAAGACTATTAATCAAGACTATTAATCAAAAGATTAATAGTTAGCTAACGCTAGCCATGCTAGATTGCAGTAACTTTATTCTCTCTCTTTTTTTATATGGTTGGTCTTTTTTTGCACTTTATTTCTCATATAAGAGAAACCATGTGATATTTAAGCTTGTGTGTCTGATTTACTTCACTTAACATTATGGTCTGAAAGTAACATGTTTTCCTTCAGATGACACAAGTTTATCTTTCTTTATAGCAGTTATACTCCATTGTGTATAAATACCACATTTTCTTTATCCATTTAGCTATTGATGGACATATAGGCTGTGTCTAAGATTTAGCTATTGTTCTGCTATTAACATGGGTAAGCGTGCGTCTCTGTAATGTGACATTTCTAACTTTCTCAGAAGATACGTAAAAGGGGAATAGCTGTGTCAAATGGAATTTCTAGTTTTAGTGTTTTGAGGAATCTTCATACTGATTTCTATAGTGGTTGTACCAGTTCATATTTCCACCAAAAATGGAGAAGAGTTCTTTTTCTTTGCAGCCTCTCCAAAATTTGTTGCTGCTTGATTTCTTGAAGGATGGTCATTCTTTCTGGAGTGACATGGAATTTCACTATTGTTTTAATTTGCATTTCTTGAATGGCCAACAATATTGAACACTTTTTAATTTTATTTATTGGCCATCTGAGACATGTCTATTCATTTCAGATGTCCATTTCTGATCAGGTTTTTAAACTTTGGGTGATCTATTTTGTTTGAGGTTTTTAAAAAAGTATACTTTAGATAGTAGTTTTCTGTCTGAGAAATATCTGGCAAATCTTTTCCCATTCTGTAAGGTATCTCTTCACTCTATTGGTGGTTTCCTTTGATGTGCAGAAGCTCTTTAATGTGACCCAGTTATTGATTCTTGGTATTATTTCTTGTGCAATCAGTGCTTTGTTCATAAAGTCTTTGGCTACACCTATGCTTCAAGAATTTTACTTATTTTATCTACCAGCAGATTGTTTCTAATATTTAGATCTTTAGTGCACTTTGGATTAGTGCATGGTGAGAGAGATATTTAATGCATGACGAGAGATACATGAGTCTAGGTTCAATCTTGAGTATATGAAAAGCCTGTCTTCCCAGAACCATTTATTAAAGGGGTTAAAGTATTTGGCCCTGTTGTCAAAGATAAGGTAGCTGAGTGTATCTGGAGTTGTTTCTGAATCTTCTATTCTGTTCCACTGATCCACATGTCTGTGTTTTTAAAGTTATTAAACATTGTATACAACAAGTTCAAAAGGAAAATCCACAATTTTTCTCTCTAGAATACTCTCTCTAGGTGCCTTTAAACCATAAAAAAGCAATTTTGTCTTTGCCCAAAATATAGTTGCATTCTAATAGATCAAACAGATAGTAGAGTATAAATAAATATCAAACAAAAAGCAAACAAGTAGAAAATGTCAGTTCTCTAATGTTATAAAATAGTAATGATAATAAAGAATTGTTATTTTCCTTCTCTCCTTATTTCATTCATTTCTTTGACTCTTTTCTGAAGGTTTACTAAAAGAAATTATAGAGTATTAATTTATTAATACCACAGCATAATCTCAGGAGGTGAAAATGTAAAGTTCCATCAGGGGAAAATCAGAACCAGGAACCATGTAGGCAAATAAACTAACAGACTTACTAGGGCTCTGCTTGCGCTGTTGACTCACAGTCAGTCTCTCTGTCTCATCTGTCTCTCTCTCTCTCTCTCTCTCTCTCTCTCTCTCTCTCTCTGTCTCTCTCTCTCTCCTTCCTCATCTCTTGCATGCTTAGGACTGGTTTCTTTTTGATGTTATGGAAAGAAAAAACAGACGCCAAGGATGTATGCTATATTAGGGTTTAATGCAGGAACAATAACAACAACAAACACTTTAGAGAATTTAACCAGAAAGATACTTAATGTAAAGAATTAGATACTCAAACTATCGTAAGGCCCTACTAGCTGAAGTGAGAGGCTGTCATTAGGCAGCTGCCCATCTTTCATAAAGCTAGACACAAGAAAGGGTAATTTAAATTAGTTTACCAGAACTTGTCCACTGGCCAGCAAAGTTAATTTATGCTTCTTTTTGCCTTCCAAAAGTTCCAGCTCCAAGGAATTCTGGGAAATGTAATTTTCGTCATCTATTTTTCATGATGGGAGGAAAGTTAAAAGAGGTTAGAAATGGATGTTGAATTTCAATAGAATGTACGTATTCTTCCAACAGAAAAGAGTTTTGCTAGTCTTCTGTTAAGCATGAATATATTAAAAATGAACACACAGAAACTTATAGTAAGGTGAATGATATTAAAAATAAAAGTAATAAATACTCAGAACTCATTACCTCTTAATTATTTTACATTTGAATATTGTCTATGTTCTTGAATTTATTTGTATTCATTACATCTGTTTGATTAAAATATTATATAGTTGCTACTGAAAAACAATTTTTTTCAACTTCATTTTTAGTGGTATAGGCTGAAATCAGGTGAGAGTATTTCTAAAGTGGGAACTGGCAAACATATAGTTCAGAGCCTTTAACTTTCTCTGGAGCACAAGTACCTTAGTATATTTACTAGCGCATCATTGGCTAAATGTATTAGAATAATTCCATAAAGGAGGAAAATAAAGTATAAGAAGTTTTCAGATAGCAAGAAATAGGAGGGTCACAACATGAATATGTGGGTCATTTGGATCATGACAAAGAAAAAAAATTAGGAAGTAGAAGAATCATAAACAATTAGAATTCGGTGCAGATAGTATTTGTTATACCTGACTTGACTAGTGCCTGTTATTAGAATCTTAGAATTTATAGCACTTAGTCTTAAGAGGAGAATTAAAGGATCGGCTGTCCTCTGGGATGTCCAAGAGCTCACATAGTCCAGAGAGTCTGGATAGTTGTGAGGGTCTTTCTGATGACTGAAAGCCTCTTAGATTATGATATCGTTTGTGGAAGTATAACAGTTTGGAGGAAGATGAAAAGAAGTGGGAGACTTTTAAGGAGTTCCTGTAGTCCACTATGGCTGAAGACCAGCAAGTGAAGCATTACTTTGCAAGCAATGCAGTAATAACTTAAGAGTTGTGGTCACAATGTGAGAAATTATTATACAGGCAATTTGGGGTCAGGCAGCAGTGAACCAATGTTGGCAGTCACTTAGGAGACCTAAGAGGCAGGAATGAGGAACTTAAGGAGCTCACTAGAGAATATCATAGAAACAAGACATATGTCTTACTTTTGCCTATGTATAGTATTAGATCACATGATTTTTTGTTTGCATGAAATGTCATATATATGAATCAATATTCAAGTTATATCTCGTGACTAGTATTTTCAGGGTGGTGGTTCTATTAACCACTGTATCTAAAGAAACAAAACAAAACAGAAAAGTTATGTAAAGAATCTTATTTTTAAACTACTTAGACTATCAAATTTTGTCTTTGGGCCGGTGCCACTCAACTAAAATGGAAGCGATTTGGGGAACACACGAAAGCTGAAGGGAAATCTAATTATATTTTCAGGGTATGCAGTGAAGCTTTGAGAAGAATCTGAGTACAAGAATAGGATATTAACATTAATCTACTTTGATGGAATACCAGTAGATAAGTTTCAATTAACTCAGAAAATTTTTAAAGGCCCTATTCTTATTGTTTTGCTGTACTATCTAGAGATTTAGTAGTATTCTTGAGGCTGTTATTTTTCTTTTTGAAATGTTCTAAAGAAAAAATATTCCTACTTCCTATAGAGGGACATACAAAATTTTGTCTTCCCATCTGTACTGTTTCTTGTCATCATTGGATCCACTATGAAACAATTATTCAAAATTCTTCAGATTATACATTGGCTAGAATATTAGTTTGTGTTAATGAGGATACAAAACTTAGGAAATGCTATAGGTTAATGTTAGAATTTATGAAACGTTTTTCAAGATTATCAGAGAGAAGCCTAGGGCAATTAGACGAAGGATTCTTAGGATAAGTATGGTTTGTATGAACAGATTTGTTGTGACAGTTTTACAGAGAAAACAATATATTTCTGTAATTAATGAAAAACTGGCATTATAGAAAACAACTCTGAGCTTTGGAGTCTAGTGAAATAGAATTACATCGTACTCCAACATTGTTGATGTCTATCTCATTAGTTCTTCATTTGACAGACATGTGAGATATTAAAATAAGTCCAAACTAAAATACTATTGTACAGTGCCATTTTTATTTAAAATCATTAATTTCTTTTCTTAGCTGTGCTACTAAACATTCATTTTGTTTACTTTCAGAACATTTAAAATTGAGAATTATAAAATTTTATATCTGGAAATGCTTTTTGAGAAACATTGTAGATTTAATATGTTTCAATAACCATGATCATGTTTAACCACGAAAGGAACCAATATTGACAATCGCTTTTAAGATAGTATTTATATGACCTCTTCCTCCAAGAGCTTTGATTACACTATAGTTGGGGATGTACGTGGGAATAACATATTGTCAAAAACAATTTGGTCCTAAATTATAAAATGGAACATTTTTTCATGTTCTACTATTCCAAAATTTGATTCCTAGGTCTATTCCCTAGAGAAACTTTTGCGTATGGGCACCAAGAGACAGAACAAAAGCAGTTAATGTAATTATTAATCATAATAACAAAAAATTGGAAATTCAAACAATTGTATATTGGTTTCTATGAAGAGACAGGTCCCAAAAGTGTGGGGTGGATGAAAAAAAAACAATAGAGATGAAAGTTATGGGGTTGTAGGGCAACAGCCTCTAGGACTGAAGCCCTGATTACAATTTTCTCTGGATTTTATTAGTCTTTTCTTTTTCAAAGAACAGAAGTGGATGCTATAAGGGTAAAGTTCAGGTAAAATTAATTGTTTAACTATTCCAGGGACCATCTTTAGCTGTGTCTGGCCTTGATGTTTACCATTTGTCTTGGTCATTTTCCCCTTATTGCTGCACAAAATACCTGATACCCAAAATGAAGAAAGGAAAGGCTCATTTAGCTCATTGTTTGTGGAGGTTTCAGTTCATCATCAGCGGGCTCCAAAGCAGGGTGGCATGGAACAGGGGCAACACTTCAAGGCAGCAGTCAGCAAAAGCAGCCAGAGCAAAAAGGTGTGTATGGGGGGGTGTAGAGCAAGTCTCTTTTCCTCTCTTATATTGTACACAGGCCACCACCCCCTCTCCAGGGCTGGTATAGCACTCACAAAATTTCCTTGCCTTCCTTTTGCACAGGAGGAGGGATATTTACAAAATAAGAACACTGGCTCCTTGCTGAAGCTCTCAAACTTCTAAATTTCTCAAATTGAGACAATGAACAATATCCTAGAATGGTAACTGCTTGTGCCCTCTACAACACAGCAAGCAGAGCTGCTGAATTCCTCAGTTAATCTTCTAGACTTCTCAAGCTGACACAGTGTACAAACCATGATACCATTCTTTTGGACACATTTTAGCAAAGCATCTCATGCTCTCCCAGCAGCCTTCCACTGAGACTCAAGGTTCATTACTTTCATTACCTTCGACACAATGAGTTTACAAGGTTTCCTCCAAAACAAACAACCATATGACCTCAAATAGCACAAAGTCCCTGGAGTGACCAAAGTTTAAATTGGTTTAAGTTAATCTGTTATCCACACCTATAGAAGACGGTTACATTAATTATGGAACTACACAATGGAATATTGGATAGTAGCAAAAATGATTGAGGTGCAGCTATATGGAGTGTGGCAAGATCTATATACAGAGGTAAATGTATTTTGAGTAGGTAGAGAGAAGTGGGGAGACTCTTTTAAGGAGTTCTTCATAGTCCAAGTGTAGCTGGACACAAACAAATGAAACATGACTTTGCAAAACATTATTTTGCAAGCAATGTAGCGATGAATTAACAATTACATAGTGCAAGAATAATATAGCAAGTGAAAAAAGTGCTAGGGAATCATTAATAGTACTTAGAAGACCATGCCATTTTTATAAGCCTCGGAAAATAGAACTAAAAACATTATTTATGGATACAGACATGTTATTTTTTAAACACAAGGGAATGATACACAAAGTTTAGGATAGGGAGTTAACTGGAGGAAAGTTAGGGGGTAAGATATAGAAATAAATCCTAGGCTGATACAAAGATGTTGGCCACAGATCAGTTTCATAGCTGATGGTATGTTCATTTATATAGTATTCATGGTTACTTGCATGCACTCTTTAAAAATTTTGTAGCTCGATTGAGCCTAGTGCCTTCATGGCACTTCTCCAGTCATTTTCATTTTTTAAGGGTCTCACTTAGTTGCTCTGACAGGCTTAAAATTGTAATTCTCCTGCTTCAGCCTCCTAAAGTGAACCATTTATAGCAGCTGCATACTCTTTTATATGTATGCTTTAAAAGATACTTGTATAGTTATATAATGAAATAACATTTGAAAAGAGCCTTATTCAATACCCAGTACATAATTTTATGCAAATGGAAGGAACAGTCTAAGAATATAACTAAAATTGATGATGGGGAAATATAAAAATGTACAGAAAATTTCTGTACATATAAAAGTTTTGAGAATTTTTAAAAATCGCATTTACCATCCATAGGCTCAGTTGGTAAATCTGATTTTTATAAGTTTGTATAAAATTGCAAAACCAAAAGTAGATGTGGCTATCATGGAATATCATACTGAAAAATAGATTTACTGGTTTAGTGACCTTTTTGGTATTGAGTGAACGAAGGACTATATCCTGACCCCTTTTTATTTTTTAATGTTAAGACAGGTTTTCAGAAAGTCTCTAAGTTGCCCAAGCTGGGCTAAAACTTGGGATCTTCCTGCCTCAGCCTAGCAGTATGTTATAATTACAGGAATGTACCACTTATTAAATTATATATAAATTTTTTTTAAAATGTAAGAGCTACAACTATGAAAGCTTTTTCTGAGAATAAATTATTCTAAAAGCTGTTTGTGTTCTTTATATACCTGTAAGGCTGAGCTAAGTTATTTGATAGTAGAAAATGGTAATTACCTGGACAGTATTTTATCATTATTGTATCTCTTGAAAACCATTAGTTCTGTGAACATTCCCATCCTTCTTGAAATAGAACATATATATATATATATATATATATATATATATATATAAATACGAATTTCTCCTGTGAAATTCAGACACCATTTCACTTTAGCAACAGATCTTTTAGGAATGTATTGCAGAGATAAAGGGTAGCTTATTTGTACCTGTTTTATGCCCCAACAAGTATTCTCAATGTGTGAGATACAACTCGTTGTTCAGTGCTTATCTCAAAGGCTAAAAATCAGAATTATGAAATTAGAATCCATGTATTCTTCTTGAGAGTTCTGTGACAAAAATGCACTGAAATATTAGTAGAGAAGTGTAAAAGTTATATTAATCACTTCAATATCACAGGGTTAGCAATGGATGTTAGATGCCTGATATGATACTCAGAAGAGTTTAAGTTTCCAGCTTATTTCTGAGTTACAATACTCATTTGACATCTCTCTTTTCTCATATTTATCAATAGAGATATGCTCCTTTGAGGACTATTACAAGAATGGAAAAAGTTGCTACACATGAAAAAGCCTTTGTAATCTCAAGGAATATACAATTGTTAGTTTGTTACTATAGAAAGTCCTTAATTTCTTTAATAGATTAAAATTATATGAAAGTATAACAAGCTTATATAGGCATTTTAAAAGATTACCAAGTAAACACGATGAATTTCCTTATAAGAAATAGGAAACTGCTTATAGGGCCTGCTCGAAAAAATATTGTATTGATTTTCACACAAATGTAAATGTCAAAGCATATTTCTACAGAATCTGCAGGATATTATGACTTATTAATTCATCAAGTCAAACATAACTAATTAACCTCCAGAGAGACAAGTATGGTGGAAGTATGGTAATCTTTCTTTTTAGCTTAGTAGTGGAGGAAAGAAGTAATTCACCACATGAGTGTGTGTTCTGCAGTTATCACAACAGGAATATTGTGAACAGGCAGAATGGCTTTGGAATTTTATTGTCACTCTAGGGCTTTCTCTGACTTGTAGTTCTGAAATTTTTAGTAGCTTATCTACAAGTTAACTTTTGCCATGGAGAAATAGTCTTATATACAGAAAGACTAGTATTCCAAGGTAATTTGATAGTTTACAGTAAGAAATACGACCAACTTAACTTCATACTAACACTTATACATTACCTTTCTTTACAATTCCTAAGAGCTTTTGAAATTATCTGATTTTGGTACCTCTTGGCCATTGAAGAAAATGACCTAATTTATCTTACTCGATTTTATTTTCCCTACCAGGTGGAAAATAGTGAAAAGTGTAAAGCAGAATAGGATAACATGTCCCAGTTTTCAAAAAATAACATACTGTTGATGATTCTTTATATTTCCTTCCCACTTTGTCTATGCATGTTTATGTTACTGGGATCATACTATATATCCATTTTAAATACTTAAATTTTTTTCTGGTTATGATGGAAATCATGCATTTCTGTGGAAATTTTGGCAAATTCATAGAAAAGACATCTAAAGCAAAAATTGAAAACCAAAATGTGAAAGTCATATACATATAATATACTGTAGTTAACTACTGTGAACATTTTGGTGTATTGTCTCCCAGTGTTTTTATTTTTTGAAAAGAAACCAAAGCAGAAGAGCTTGGGGGGACACAAACTGGCTTGGCTGGCGTTAGGTAGCTTCTACTCTCCAGTCCAGCGGCCTAGAAGAACCAGATCAGCACTCTTGTTCATGGACAGGGGTAGGGAGAAGAAACAGTCTCCCTTAAAGTTCTCTGGCTTAATACCCTATCTTAAACTGACTTGTACATTTTTTTTTTTTTCATGGATTCCCACCTTCAAAGCCCACCGACGCCTGCCTACATTGGACGGTTTCTGGAGCCCGCGCTCCTCCTCGGCGGTTCGTCTCTGCTCACTGGGACACCCGCCCCTACTTCACCTTCTAACAAGAGGAGGAAGCAGGAGGTTGCTACTTTGTTGCTTCAACCTGAATAGTAGTCAGAGGCTTCGCCCAGCGGCAGGATCAGGAGCGCTCGAAGTCCCACTCGAAAGCTCCAGGTCTCTCTCAGAAGGGCTGCGGCCGAATCCCTTGTTCCAAAGGAAGGTGGTCATTCCCAGAGGGGCCAGTCTTTCCAGGCATTTGGAGGTTGTCATCAGAGTGCACTTGAATGTGGCTCTGATTTTCCTCATCCTGCGGTTCTAGACAGGTGGAAGGGAGCTAACTCACTCTCCGCCTCTCGGGAGATCCCGGCAGGCATCTGTTGCGGAATGCCGAGGCACAGCCAACAGCCGATCCTCTCCGTCGTATTTTGCGAGTCGGAGGAAGTGCGTCCCTTCTCGCTTGCCTTACGCAAGGGGAGGCAAGGACTGCACTATCTCGCAGCCTACGGGAGGGGGGAGCATTCACGGGCGGCACTCTGCTTATCAGTGAGAAGTAGTGGCTCCCCCAAAGACCAACGGTTATTCTAGTAGGGATAGTATTATATGGTCTCGGAGTCCATACAAAAGGTAGGAACGATCATCTGCACGAGTTAGGCCGTGGAGGTGCCCTGTCCCTCCCCATCGGTTTGCCTGGACCACCAAGGGCAGCTGGCGAACACCAGCAGCAGCTGAACTTCCTCAACCTCTGACAGCTTGGTGGGAGCATCTCAGGGTCCTGAATCAGGGCTCTTGGGGCGGGACGAGACGGGGCGGGGCGAGCGCGCGCTGGGCGTGGCGACAGGGAGTTGGTGTGCCTGGAGGGAACGCGCGAGCCGATCCGAGAAGACCCGAGCCGAGCCGAGCCGAGCCGAGCCGAACCGAACCGCAAGGAGCCGGGGAGAGGCAGGTTGAGCCGGGCTGGCCGCCTGCGGCTCAGCGCCGATCCTGCCGCGTCGCCTGGCTCCGTCTTTCTCCTTTTTTTGCCCAAGCTGCTGCAAAACTTTTATTCTCTTGGGCTCTCCCGGGTGTGTGAAGGAGTCGAGCGCTCGGCTGTCTCCGCGCTCCCCAGCAGCGGCGACCGAGGGGACTCGCATCCCTCGCCCGCCCAGCTCTCGCACCCTGCGCTTCCTCACCTGCCAGTCGCTCTCCGGAGCCGCGGGAGGGCACCCCCTGAGGGGCCGCGCGGGCGCCGGCGCCCCGAACACGCCCGCTCACCGCGGCGGACCGGCCCCGCGCAACTTTAACTTGATTTCTCTCGCCCACTCTGGGCACCCACGGCCGCTGTGCCGCCGCCGCCCGTCACTGTCGCCGCGGTCTCACAAAGGGCGCGGGGAGAGGAGGCGACGCGGGCGGCAGCGCGGGCCTCCAGGCCGCCGAGGTTAAGAGACAAAAGGGAGCTGCTTGTGCTCGCCGTGCGGTTGGGAGCAGCCTGCTCGTCCCCTCCGCCCGGCTCGGGCTTCGGCTCCGCGCGCCCGCTCCCCGACCCTCGGCTGCTGCTCCGCCTCCCTCCCGCGGGCGTCCCCGCAGTGCTCGGGACCCGGAGCCTTCGGGGCGCGCGCAGCTGCTGGTGGTCGGGGGCTCTAGGGATAATAAATGATAGAGGATACAATGACTTTGCTTTCTCTGCTGGGTCGCATCATGCGTTACTTCTTGCTGAGACCCGAGACGCTTTTCCTGCTGTGCATCAGCTTGGCTCTGTGGAGTTACTTCTTCCATACGGACGAAGTGAAGACCATCGTCAAGTCCAGCCGGGACGCCGTGAAGATGGTGAAGGGCAAGGTGGCTGAGATCATGCAGAACGATCGACTTGGAGGACTTGACGTGCTGGAGGCCGAGTTTTCCAAGACTTGGGAGTTCAAGAGCCATAACGTGGCTGTGTACTCCATTCAGGGCCGGAGAGACCACATGGAGGACCGCTTCGAAGTTCTTACGGACCTGGCCAACAAAACGCACCCATCCATCTTCGGGATCTTCGATGGGCACGGCGGCGAGGTAGGTCTTACCTCTCTGTCTGTCTGTCTGTCTGTCTGTCTCTCTGTCTCTGTGTCTCTCTGTCTGTCTCTCTGTGGTGTGTGTGTTTGTAAACACGGCATCACGCGGGCTGCTGGCTAGGACCCGGGTAAGTGGGGCGTGGTGTCTGGACAAATGATGCTTAAGTTACCAAACTACTTCAGGGTGGCGAGCTCTTGGGGCTGAGGGTTCAGATTAGCGGAAAGCCGTCCACCGCAAATTGTGTTAATATGAAGCTTTCGAGGCCCAAATACAGCGTAAAACTGTGCTCGTTTTTCGGGGAGAACTAATGATATTTCCAGTGAACTTGGCTCTGGGCCGCAGTGACCCTTTCTAGGGTTTGACGTCAAATTAGCCGCAACGAAGGAAGATCATTTTTTTGGTGCATTCGGAAAGACTAAAATCTGCAGGGTGTCGGGAGCCTCAGTGAGGATGAAGAAGACTGGGACTTTTGCCGTTTCTCTGAAGAATCAAGGGGCAGCTCTGTGCTTCTTACCAACTCCATCAACTTTGCAAGTGTTGTCGGGCCAGATGACAGGAGCACCTTGCAGTCGAAGATTTTTAGCAGCGCAGGGCAGAGTATATTCCTGGGCTTTGCGGAGATGCTCCATCAGCCCTACAGCCCTGACCCGACCTGCGCCCTTTCCAGAGCGAGAACCCAAATACCTCCTTGCTCCTAGATTCCTTTGGGTTTATTCGGGAGCAGAAGACAAGGCTAAAGGCCAGCATAGATGTTCCTCGCACAGTTCTGAGGCACCAGCGTTGCAGGCTAGGGCTCAGGGTTCCTGGAGGTCATGCAGGGGTCGGTTGATCTACTAGGGACGCGGCGGGTGTAGTAGGTGGTATATGGTCCCAGCGCCGTGCACCAGAGAGTACCAAACCAACACCCCATTTCTCTCAATTGGACAGTTGGTAACAAAGTTACATTGCAGCGTGCTTTTTTTGGCAGTACGTTTTTATTTTAAACCCTGTCCTCTGGTCTGTGCCTGGGCTGTGGGGAACCCTAGGGAATGTCTTTCTCTTTCAGGCATTTGCTTGTTCTTTGGCCTTGGTTTTGCTTAAACATTGAGAAGGCTTTCAATTAGTTATCTTATCTGCATTTTCCACCCGCCATCTGGAGATCTTTCCACAGTAGTGTGTCTGTCCTACCTTGTAGAAACAACTTGCCAAGAATGGCAAACTAGCGAAAGTTACTTGTAGAACTGAAAATGGTTTTTGCTATTTTCTGTCCACCTTAATCTTTTTATAATCTTTCAGCAGTTTTCAGTAATCTTACAGCCTTTCATGTGGTGTGGGGCTCCCCTCCCCTTGACCATGGAGAAAGTGAAAGTCAATTGATGGAAGAGACACTGCATATTTGATCAAAAATGTACCTGAATGACAAGAATGATAATATAATGAGTGATTTTTTTTCTTGACTTGAGTCATAATTTCTTTATTTTCATTTTATGTGCCTATGTTCAGTGAGAGTGAAAGAAGCTGAGATTCTTTAATTTGTAAATCACTTAACCTTAAATTTATCATATTTTTATATGAAAATTGTTGGCTAATGATAATCAGATTTTAGTCTTAGAAAGCACAGTTTTGTGTTTAGCTTAAAGGTTTAGATGTAATTTTTTTTTTAAAATTGGTATTGGGGATCGAATTCATGACTTCTTCCTTGCAAGGCAGGTGCTTATGCTGCTAAATCCCCATCCCTTAGATGTAATGTTAAGGTTGTAAAATTTTGCATGGTGTGATACCTTAGCACGTTTTTGGCATGCTTGTGTGATTGGGTAATTTGAAAATGTTTTCTTTAAGTTGACTTTCCTAAAGCTTGAAAGTTGGAGGCCCAAACGGGTTTCAGATTGAACTATTTACAGTACTATCTAGCAAATATATCATCCAGAAAAAGGGTGTAATAAATATTTTTATTGAACTAAAAATAATTTGTATGTACTTGACTTTTTATAAATTTTTAAATATTAAATGAAAAGATGATCATTTTTAGTCAGACTATGAAATGCTTTTCATTGTGCAGTGTTAAAATGATTATTGTTTGCAAAATAATTGATAGTGTGGTTGAAAATAGAATAATTGGTCTCTCTATAACCACCTATCATGTGCAGTCAGTTCATTCATTCTGGCTTTTAGGCAAAATAAAGAAAATGCTACGAAAAGAGTTATTTAATTGTACTAGGAGTGTGATAATGCACAGTACTGGGTTATTTACTTGCTTTTCTTTTATATATGCTTCAAAGAAAAATCCCACTTTGTAATTTTTTTTTTTTTACTTTTTTTTTTTTTTGGTCTTTTTCGTTTTTATCGGTACCAGGGATCGAACTCACGACTGCCTGCTTGTAAGGCAGGCGCTTATGCCGCTGAGCTAAATCCCCAGCCCCCACTTTGTAATTTTTGTCTTTGTGAGGCTTACCTTCTTTAACATTTACCAGAGGAGGGTGCCACTGTTTGATTTTGGTATAGATGATAGTTATCTTCTTGTAGAAAAGAGGAATCTTTTTCTGAACTCTCTATAAACTGTATAGATATATACAAATGTATACATAAAATCACATACATACATACAAACTGTCGCTAGAATGATGCAGAAGGTAAGTCAGGTGCTGAATTTATTTCTAGTAATTCATACTGATGATAAGACTTAAAACGTGAGTACCCAATTATAATTATAATGCTTTTCACATCCAGAAAGGATGTTGTATATCCTTGGTATATCTATTTCATTTTGTATATCCATTGCTTACGTTTTTAAAAGATGACATATTGGTATTTGGAGAATTTGTGACCTTGCTAAATCCAAATGGCTATTTTAGATCTTTCTATTGAACCATTAGACAAATTAGTTTGACTGTTTGCCTAGTAGCTAGCACTCTGGAGACACAAAGGTGACTGAGCAATAATAACTTCTGTCCTCAAAATGCTTTAATCTAGTGAGAGAGTCTAGAGACCATTTACCAAAAATTACAATCTTGCTGTTTGTGGTGTTATGGGAACACAGAAGAGAAGCATTTATTTATTTATTTTTAATTTTTATCGGTACCAGGGATCGAACTCACGACCATGCACTTGCAGGGCAGGCTCTTATGCTGCTGAACTAAACCACCAGCCCTGAGGAGGAGCATTTAAATCACACTGGGAGGTGGGAGGTCTAGGGCAAAACACCAAGAAGACATCATTTAGTGCAAGACTGAAAACATAGCCTTTTCCTCTGGAGATACAGCTCAGCCACAGGGTGTCTTATGCCAGTTGTGACCTTGGGCAAATTACTTAGGCAGCTTTATCTGGGAATTCTTATTAAAGCATAGGGATAATAATGCATGTAAGGTATACCCTCATCAGTTGTATTATACCCTGGTGAGAGAAATACTTAGTGGAGGTGAGGGTATGGAAGAAGAAGACTCAGTAACCAAGAAGTATATGTGTGTGTTGGGAGAGAAACCACTTGTGAGAACCACAACTTTGGTCACTTAGGTCAATCTTTTGACCTTATTCTTATCCTTGTAACTAATGAGTTACAAGAATAACCCATTAGTATTCCCAAACATTCTCTGCTTGTTCTCACTTTTGGTGAACTTCTGATTAGTAATTTGGGATTCTATTTATATATTTAGGAATTGAGAAAGCAGTATCCTGGCATTAAGTGCAAATTTTCATAGGAATGAGAAGTGATCAATATATGGGTATTCTGATGTATCCTGATTTGTACTTCAGCCTCTTAATGAGTTGAGTTAGCATTGTTAGTTCTTTGGGGCTGTTCAACTGAGGATTCTTGGACAAATATGTATCTCTGGATTTGTCATGCTCCAGACTAGATACTAGATGGCTGTAACTTTATTTAGGAGAATGAGATCATAAAGACTCTGTTTCTGTAGTTCTGTAGGCCAGCTTCTTCATTTGAAGCTCTTGGGTCTGGTTACATCTTAATAGTATGGATGGGTGGGAGACTGCAGATACTACATATCTACAGCTGTGGCAGTGATTGTTTTGTAGCATAATGGTAAAATAACAAAAGATTTTTAAAAAGCCCAAACTATCAATTACTATTGAAAGGTATTTTTAAAATCAAAAATAATGTTTATGTAGGAAAAATTTTTGTTTTTATGTTGATTATAGTTTTTCTCTTTTTTTGATCCATAGTTTTTAAAATACTATCTCGAAGAAGTATCATCACTTCTTTGTGGTAGCTTTGCCAATGTTCGTGCCTCATAGCTATCTAGAATAGATTGTTACATGCTGCATGGTTGTGTATATCTTGACAGTTGACACACAGCTTGAAACAAAACAAAATTAAACAAAACAAAATGAAACAAAACTTGAGGTGCTCATCAAGGACTGGAGTTTTGAGGTTCAACAGTTGCCAGCCTCAAAAGAGAAACTGTTTTTGAAGATGGCCTGAAAGATGCATACATGCAGTGGTTCTTAATCTTTTTAAGATTATGCTCCTCCTTGAAAATGTACAGACATATCCCTCGGAAAAAATGGACATGCACATCAAACATTACTTATTGTTTAAAAGGCAAGTGATGCATGAAACTTCTATATTTAAGGTTAATTTAGGTAAAATGCAATGTTTCTAGTGAAGTTAGACTTGCACAGAGCTGTGTACCTGAATTCCTTCCTTATTACTCCCTCTGACAGATCAACTGCAAGGGTATTGTTGAGGACATTGCTACATTATATTGCATTTTCTTTAAGAAGATGAAGGGAGAAATACAACTCTAATACCTTTTTGTTTTTATTCTTAAAGATACTGAATATGTAAGATTGAGTTATTTTTTGGTTCTTGGCTGCTAGAAGTATTAGGAGCCAAACTTCTGACCTGTTTCTAGGAAATGTACAGATTTTTATAGAAGGCATGCTGTTGGTACTTGAAATTACTTCTAGGACAGCTTATTTTTCCTACATTCAATTTTCCTTTGCCCCTTTTTTATTTTCTCCTTTATATAAATCATTTTATCTTGTTGCATTACATGTATTTATGT